GAATTTCTTACTTAAATAAATTAGTGAAACGAAATTATGGGTTCCCTATATAGTATGCTATGACTTTATCGCTAAAATTGCGAGCCCTAAAAGCAACTAATATTGGTTTATAACAATTACAAGATTAGATTTATTTAAACTTCGTATGGTTTCTATTATAACAAATGATTGATTTAAAAAATTTATGTAAACATTTCTTATAGAAACATTTTCACAATATCAGCAATTGTAAAAGAAAAAATTCAGAAATCAGTCATTTTGACTGGTTTGGTAGTTCTAGCGTTAAGAAACAATATTTATAACATAAGTAACGTAATTAAACAATAGGCAAATTAATTTGTCTATTTATACCGAAACAACCGTCACACATGTGTGGAACGGATAATAAACGCGTTAAAGATAGAAAATTTCACATATAATTTTATTAGTAGATTAATTTATCGAGAGAACCATCAATCAACGTGTAGTTTAACGTGAAATTAAAGAAACAGAAGAATACAACTGAAAAAGAACCTACATGCTCCTACATACTAATGCCAACCGCATGTCTTGCAAATGACTCTGCAGAAATTAAATGAACTAGACCGTGTGATTTTACTTCACCCAGCTTATTCTGCAGATTACTCTCCGATATACTACTATCTTTTCAAGCATGCTAACAAGTTATTACGAAAGAAGATTTTCGATATTCAAGAAGCAGCTGCAAACGTTTTTGGGGAACTTATTTGCTACAGAACACCAGAATTCAATATTTGGTGGAATAAAACGACGATTACAAAAAATATTCAAATGCTTTCAAAACGAAATAAGTTCTTTAAAATTGAACCACACGACTTGAACGGTTTTGAGATGTCAGAGGGACTAGTTCACTAGACAATAGCCAAACAAAATTTCATATAAATTGCAATACGTTGAAATGACAAGAAAGATAAAACAATTGTGCTTTTATCATTTTTATCTGACCCTGCAACAAAAATTTGAATTTGTTTTGTGATGAAATTTTCAGCACCCAGATCTACAAAACGCATTGCTTAAAGAGCCAAGCCGGATAAAATGGTCAAATCTACCCTTAGAGGTTTTTCAACGCACCGTTCGATAGGAGACCATGAAAAACCTCTTTGTGCAAAATTTCAATCCTTTAGCTTTTCCTGGAGGGTAGTTACAGGGTAGATTAGATCGCACACTTTTCCACATTTTCTCCCTCGGTGGCTTCTTAAAATTTTAAAAAAAGTTTGACTTATTTTGACTAACAGGCCACATGTTAGAGAATTTTTTCAGATTTTTCGGTTGTAAACTGTGGTTACAGAAAATAGGAAACCAAAAAGAAGAGGATCAGAAAATTGCAGATTTTTCGAGAAAAAAAGATTTTGCCCTCACCGTTCTATCGAAGGACATTGCCAAAAGCAATGTTGTCAATTTTTGTCAGATGTAAGTGTGGAACACTGTTGCAAAAAATAAAAACCAAACTTTTGACGTTTTCTCCGTAAGTTGTACTTGGTTTCGTCTGATCAATAACTATATTGTGCAATATTAAATGGTTTTACATATAAAGAAATGATCGTTTAGCTAGGAACACGAAATTCAAGATATGAAGGTGCGGTAAGCGTGATATACATATATCTCCGCAACGCAATCGTGGTCACCGTGGACCATCTTTTTAAAATTCATCTATGTTTCTAAGAGGTCAATGTCATCATTTTTCTCACTTTTCATCATCGTTATGATTCCTGGCAACGCATAGAGAAACTACATTTCATAAAGCATTTTCCGCGATATGAATTAACACGTTCATGAGTGCATTAGAGACTATTAGAGAGATCGCTATCGAGTATTCAGCCCTTCCGTTGCTAATTATTTCACGCTTGTGTCATGCGTTGAGAAGTAAATCGCATAATCAGTCACCTAATGAAACGTATAGTCATTCGCGGAGCTTGAATACAAGAATTGCTGTCTCTCCGTCGGCGTTGTGTACGCGATATGATACATTAGAAATATGGACACGTCATTTATTAAATGACGCGCACGCCGATTACCCGCTGGTTGTCTTTCATCTCTCTTCAGGCGTAGTTGAACGAAACATTAGACCGATATTAGCAGCCATTAGGAAGCGAATTTGCTTGCAGCAAGAAGCTCAATCTATTTATCTCGCGTCGACGATATAAATAACATTTTATGCGCAATTATTGCCTACGTTTGTTTTCATGAAATAATATTACATGACTAGTAGTACGCTTATTTTCTTCAAACGAAGAGATTTGATCACATTTCTTAGATCATTAATTAATTTACTGCAATGCTTTACTTGCTTTGTGTCAATTTATTTTAGCTTCGTTCGCTGTTTATTTATTTTTGTGTTCGATACATCTCGGTGTGATGTTTTCAATTTTATATCTTATATATTAGAATATACACCCACGAACAAAAGAAACATGTTACACACGTGAATATTCTTGGATACGATAATTTTTTACAATTTTCTAACTTTTCATTTTATTTTTTAATTTTCTTAATTTTTAATAATTTTTTTTGTGAAGTTTCTTTTGTTTTCTTTTACCTATAAATTAGGTTGTTCAGAAGGTTGGACTCACATTTCATAGAGTTCGTTTCATTTAATTCATAAAGAAGATTTGAAACACAATTCATTCTTTCATTTTATGAATTTAGACAAGATTTTGCACATATATTTTCGGAGCTATATTCTTCAAAAAAGTGCAAAAAGTATCGATGTTTACAAATGCTCATATTAGAATGCCTCCTCAAACTTTCGTTCTTGTCCTAATATTTCAACTTTAATTAAAATGGATATTTATTACAAAAACAGGTGTATTTTTCCAATGTCATATTACGAAAATATAATGATTACAACAGTTCGGCCATTAATTTCGAATAATTCGAACGATGGATAATTCGAGAACCTAACTACAGGAAGCATTGTTAAATTGTACATTGTCGTGTATGACGCCATATACCATAAACGACAAGTTCTATTAATACAACATACTTGAAGGTTGCAATTTCTGACATAAACTCGATGTTTCAATGCGGTTTCTGCGTCATAACTTTGAGTACACGCCAACAAAGCCTACCATTCTATTATGAATTTAATATAGACATGCGAAACGAGCGTCGGCCGACACTCATACGAACGTTGAAATTGATCACTGTTCGCAAAACCTTCGGATCGTTTCACGTTATTTCACACCTACCTAGGTTCTTTCAAATCCGAAGAATAGCCGCACTTCGGACACATTCTGTACAGCATTTAATCTTCATAACGATCTATGACACGTCGATCGGGATACGTAAAAGTACAGATCGCAATCGTTTAGCCAAGAATTGTACCTATACTTACAAGAGCACTAGTCGGCATCGATTTTACGACCGGTCGATTTATGCGATCCAAGATAGATATGTTCCAGGAAACACCGTACACTATGCACTCATAACAACACTTTTTTGAGTTTCGCAAGCTGCGGAGGAAAGTCTACGGAATTGCACTGCGTTTGAAACACGGCGTCTTTTTACAGAATTGTTCCGCATTCACAGTTAACGCAAAGTCAAGCTAGGGTATACGTACCTGTCACTGCGGCATTTTCTCCCAATGAGACTAATATTATGTGAAAATGTACTTTTTTTGCCTCAATAAATTTATATAATTCAATGAAAATATATTACTTGTTGAAGTATAAAAAAGAAATTGTGAAACATTCTCATATTCTTAAAAATATGAGAATGTTGTTTTCTTGAGAGTGATATGAGAATGATATTTAAAAAAAAATTAAAATTTTTCTGCTGTTTCGATCACCAAAGAACTGCTGTTCAACTCATTTTACATTCTTTGTACTACTTTAAATTGAATAGGCAAAGAATATACCTACTTTATTACGATACAAATGTTAGAAAAAACTTCTCTTGCTTTTTTAATAAAAGAAATTATTCCTTTAGCATTACGTACATGAAAACGAAGGGGAGCTTCTTACTGTGCCACAAATATCACTAGGAATGTTCTTAATACTGCGATTACTTCGGTTAGAAACGAGGTTCGCTCCAGCGTAACGATTTAGGTCATTGTACATGGTTATGATACAATACCAGAGTTCGATTCGATAAAAGTGTGAAAAATTATTTATATCTAATCTAAGTTAATAATTATTATTCATGCAATTGAGAGACATACATATTACATATAGAAGAAAATGGGAAGCTTGAAAAACAAAAGGGAATACCTGCAGGAATGTGGTATTTAAGAAATAAAACGATAGAAGAATTGAATAAGAAAGAGGAATTTAAAAGAGATTCAGACTGACACACACAATAATAAATATTATCGAATTAGATTATAGAATTAGAAATGAAATGTGATATTACACTGTACATAGTGTTGAAATTAATAAAATGTTTATTCCTTAAAAAACTAATAAATAAAAAAAATGATTTGTTACTGTACTCAGGATTTATTTGAAGTAGGTAATAACTAAATAGTTAGTTTGTTTCCTTCTGCTCATATATTTTGAATTCTAATGAGCAGTAATAGGTACGCAGTAATTGATATACTTTTTTCTCCGCAATAATACGTACAAAATGTAATCGATTTTATTTTTTAATATTATCATATGAGGTATTAGGTTTTGAAGATCATCAATTTTGATTGCTGTTCAGAACACATTACTCTTCGATAAAATGCTCAAACATGTTATTATTTCATGATAAATTAGGAGATATATTAATATAAAGTGCGATCAAAGCATGATGTTGCAGTAATCGGTAAAATAACCATACAGAAAGATGTCAACATCTCAAGATTTCTTACGATTATTAACCGAAAGTCCTGAAAAACTGAAAAACTTTTCGCTCTCTTCCATTGTCTGTAGTTCATAACGACGTTAATCGTATAAGCTCGATCAAGCATGTAAAAACGCATTGTTTGAATTTCTTTTTTAGGCTCAGATATAAAAGTTGAACAAACATCACTTTTCAATTTTTGTACGATTCCAATCAATTGCAATGTTTGCAAAATCATTTTTATCCACTGCCTAACAACTTACAAAAATTCAAAACACTTGGTTCAATTTCTAGAAAGTTATTCCGTTTCAAAATGTGTCAACATACTTCCCGCGACGAGAGTATTCGGAAGATTCCATGGAATTTTATCGAAAGTGAATTTAGCATCAATGTCTGCAAATTGCACCGTATATTCTCCATCAACAACAAATTACCGATTATTAGGCATTTATACTTGAGTAGATTATAATCATTGCGGTGTAACTTACAGTTTCCTCATTTCACATTTTCCAAATTTATTTCACTTGTCGTTTTAACATTTTGACACGTATAGTTTATATTTTCAGACACAAGTCAACATTTTCGGAAATGTATATGATTCTAACCCAGTTATTTAGAACAGGCTAATTTTTTAAGTACAAAAGAGCTTGTACATCACACAAAATGAATACTGTTTTTATTTTCCCTTCTCTCCGATCTAGTGACATTGCTTAAATCAATTGGTTCCTTTTCAGATTTTTAGATTAAAGTATAATATATATAATGTCATTAAATAAACATAAATTCAACAGTGGATTTAGAATTGCAATGGCAAAGTCAGTTTAAAATTAGTTTAAATCCTTGCCGCACCATTATCTTCACAGTAACAATGATTAGAACTTTTACGATTGTAATAATTTCTTAGAAGAAGAAGAAAATGTATATTTTTTGTTCGCTACATTCACTCGAATGATTAAATATTAACAATGAAAGAACAGCGTTTTACTCCGACTTGAAAGAACGCAACAACATTCATACATAATAGATTATTTTACGACTCGTCAAAGTACGATATACGTTTAAATTGATATATAATATACGGATTAAAAAAATCCTAAATCGCTGTTTCATCAGACACAGAACGGATACATTTTATAACTAAAAGGTGCAATTACAACTTCATTACGGATCTTTTTGCAAAACTGTTTTAAATTTTACCTACTTATTTATCATGCAAATCCGCAGTCTAATTATAACCGTATTTTTCATTCCGCTTCCAATGAGACTGCAAATGAGTGATAATCCTAAGCTGTTCGTATTAATTCAATCACCCATTGCGAATATGTTTAATAAAATCAGCAGAGGCGTATAAATACGTGCGATGAAAAATTCTCGGTGTCAAATAAAGTGAACAAAAATATAAACTCGATCCTGAGGTGTCGTAGTCACCGCATGTCAGAAATTATCATGAAATCCGCGAAACCAGATACTCGAAGCGCAACACGGTGTGTGACATGCCTATCAACAGCTGTTGCGCCGCACTTGCAACAGACAGCGCCCCGCACGTCCCACTTAGCACGCAACAGGAGATTGGATTATGGGAGGGTTGGTGCTGGTCGATATCGACTCCTTCAGCCTACGGATTCGCGCGATAGGAGATCCCGGGTTGATAATAAAATGCGATCGCGAACCCGGCGCAGCTGATTGCTTACAATTGCGAGCAATCACGGCGACGCGACGATTTGCTTACTGGCACAGTTCATTAAAATCAGTTTGCCGCGGTACGAACGGAACACCCGTGTATCAGCCTGATTCAATATTGTCGGGCAACCTTCGTCTGATCCCATTTCTCTTCATTCGTTACGCGCTCGTTCGTGTTCCGCTTTATTATCTCCCGACACTTTCACGCCTTTGTTACCGAACGACGTGTTTACGATTCCATAAATCGCATATTTCCCTCGGCTGTTGTTCCTTCGACCCGACGCTTGCCTCTAATGACGATGTCATTCTGGTATCGCCGAGTCTCCGGTATGTAAATGAGAACGCTTTCACCGGTATTAACCTTCGCGAAAAAAGAAGTCAGCCCACTCGAATTCAGAGCCGAACTCAATGAAATTTTACATGATTTCGGAGATTCCAGCCGCATATTTACGTACAAGATGTTTGATAGGGACGTCTACCAGGGATGTGCAAGTACAGTCGCGGACATACAGCGTGTCTTGTTTAAGTGAGTACAGCAGGATATCTCGGAAGAAGTTATAGTTATAGTTTTAAAAATGTTCCTAAATGTTTTATAGTTTTAAAAATGTTCCTACAAAAGTTGTTTGATAGGATAGGCTACATCGTGTGATATTAATTGTCATAACCATGTTTCAATATTTACACGTTATGTGCAAAGTGTACACGAATTTCAGGCCATTTGGCAGTGATAAATGAGTGAGGCGTCTAAATTAGATACGAAGATAGTAAATAGATGCTCACAATAACAAAATACAAGCTGACATACGCGACAAGCATGTCTATTGAAGAGGCAATAATCATTTTCAAAGCACTGAAACTCTGCAAAGACCAACTAAATGAAAAGTACACCATTCTCACAGATCCTCCCTACGTTATAACAGCAACACAAAACTACAGACCGAAAACGAAATAATCTTAAACAAACAAGATATATACATAGAGAGAGAGAGAGAGAGAGAGAGAGAGAGAGATATGGATAAGAAAAGATTTATAACCACTGAGACCCCTTCCGCTATAACACAGCAGGAAAAGGAGAAGCGGACGAAGCAGCCAGAGAGAAACTATCCTACTGCCTCCTAAGAATGAAATCAACATACTATCCCAGAATATCGAGGAAGCTATCAGCTGCAAAACAGTAGAGGAATGGCAAAAAGAATGGACCGCTATAAACTTCGCGAAACCATACAAAATAATAGTGTACCGTTGCAGGTTTTTATCTGACCAACCTACAAGTAAAGCTATTCAAGTTACTCAAACTATTCAGAGATAATCGGTCGTGCAAGACGGACGTACAAATTCCTTCTGCAAAATAAAATTCACCTCAATATGAATTATGAAATTTGTTATTTATTCAATACCCTTCGAAAGAAATCTAAAAATCGAAACGAAACGGTAAACTTCCAAAATGAAAACTATGGGCACATGGGATGAAATCTAAACAATAAAATAACCGCCGTTAATGTCAAGGTTGTTGATCTGACGTTCAAAAATGAAAGATGAAGATTTTCACGAGTTAACTACGCATTGACGACAATTTGTTTCCAGATTGTGGGCGTTTGTGATTACTCGATTAAGACTTTTTTGGTTTGAGAAAGTTAAGTCAATGAGATCTGCGATGATTATAATGCGTTTATAGCAAATGGTATATTAAAATGGAGTACAAATTATTGATTTTGTAGATGCAGATCACATTCATCTTGTAGATTTTATTTACCTTTCTACGAATCAAGTTCATCCTTTTGCAAATCAGAATCACTCCAACAGTCACTTATAAAATTTAATTCGCATTTTACTGGCGATTAAAGACGTTTTCTAGTGTATTTTTGCGATATTTTCAATTTTTCTAGCGGTCGGACATGTTTGGAAATTTTTAAGTTTAATATAAATTGATATATTAAAAAACAAATAATACAAATATCATTAGATCATATTTATTTATTATCAGGTCATATTTTTCGAGATTTCAAGGTCATTGATGGTTTTTTTTTTTAAATGGGATTACATATTTCTGTTATTATATCATGATAGCTAAGATCAAGACGAATCAAATTACCTGTAATACCATGACCTTAACATGACCTTGAGTACAAATTTGAAACTTTTAGAAATAAAAGTTTTACACTAACGCTGTAATAACTCCAACGGAGAGATAAACGATGACAATTTTATTGGAATAAGTGTACAAAATCGTTTCCATTTACTTTTGCACAGTTTTTAATTCGGTTTTTTATTCAAATCGCAGCCAATTTCGATGTGACAAATAAAAATCGCGACGAGCGATGCGATACTCGGCCTGCTTAAGGTCAGGTGAAGGTCATTTTACTACATGCCATTGAATTCGACTTGATCTTAGTTACCAATATATAATAACAAAAGTATATAATCCTAATTAAAAAAACATCGATGATCTTGAAATCTCGAAAAATATGACCTTTAGAAAAAAAACGATTTCGACCGCAACATGTGTCCCTTTGAGCCAAAAAATTTGATCCTTAAACATTTCCGCGTAACATTATCAATAATGGAGATATCGCTTTGTAACAGAGTTACTAAAAGACACTGTAAAAAAGGATTAATTTAGAGTGCAGAAACCATAATGGAATGAAATTTTGTTCTCACTTTTAAGCAAGAGTTAGCTGCAATTTTACTCTGATTTTTTAGGTACCTTTTACCTTAACACTACCAATTTACATGAACATGATACAGTGGCGTGTTTGCTGATTCGTTGGTTAACGGATCAATAGATTCTCAGCTTAACACATTAACTGTCAGGATTCACATTTGAGGATTTTGGAATTTTACGTACACCACTTGGCGCGAAGAATATATCAGGAGCGTTTGACAGTTTAATGTCATTTTATACATATCAATCAATATCGTTTATAGCAGACGGTGTGTATTTTGTGTTTCGTTTTTTTTCAACAAGTGAACAAATTTGGAAATCATCTATAAGTTGAACACAACAAAATTGTGATACTTGAAGCATGATATTTTTGGTTTGGTTTTCATATTATAATTAAATACCATACATAAATATGTAATTTAGAGGTTATAGCAATTATGTGTTACTTAATCAGTCTTTTGTTTTTCATACAATAAAAAAATTTCTTCTTTCTTTTTATTCACGCAACCTACCACAATCCCGATTTGGGACTTTTTAAAAAATATAAGATATTTTAACAACAAAATATAATTTGAATATAATTATATTGTTACGCAACTTTTTGTGCATATACATAACTTTTGCTGTCAAAAATTAAAAAAAAGAATTGGCACTTAATGGGTTAACGGGGAATTTTTCGGAACACAGCTAACAGTTGCGCTAATTAAAAACACGCCTCCTGCCAAGTCAAAACGCCCGAAACCTCAACGTCGCGGCACCTAACGAATAATGTGAACTGTTAAACGAAGATTCATCGCAGAGATTGTTGTTGCAACCTAAATTTGTTTAACCTTAAACCGGAAACTGTGTCGCGCAGATGTGCGGACCGTAGCACGAGATAGCTAAGTGCTAAATTCGTAATCGAAGTATGTAATCCAAATAACACTAATCACAGCGGGCGGTGGCAGTATGCACGCGCGTGGAATTTAATCCTGAAAATATGCCAGGAATGGAGAGTTCGAATATTCCGAGAAGTGTTCTTAATAAGTATACAGCATGATATTATCGCGGGCATATTTCAGAATGCGCGCATTGTTTGGACAGCGGAACGCATACTCGAATAACAGGTATGTACATATCCATATGGGACAAGTTCTACTGCATTTTCGTGCCGCTAAAAATACGATGCTGCTAAATATACAATGTCGCTCCCTTACCCAAATAATTCTCCGTGTGTCGCAATTGTGTCACGTTCAGAGCCAGAGCACCTCGAGGAACTGTGGCCACTAGATTGTAGCCCAGCTCCAAGGTCGGTTCCGTGAAAATCCCATCGATCAAGTGTCCGCTGCAATAACCCGAGAAACACTGCAACCAGAATTAGCATGGCGTTAATTCATTATTCATGTACCCGTTGGATTTTTCTGACGAGCGAGACAAGTTTCGCGATCCCCGTGCCGTTTCCGATCGCAAATTTCTCATGCGTCGCTACGTCTACGATCGTGTAGGGTAATTACAGGATTAAGCTGGGACATTTTATCAGCTGATCAATTATTCAACAAAATCCTAATTTGTGATGTTAGCCACAGCGTTCGACGAAAAAAACTGATGTGTCGAGCGTACATATTTTTTCTTCGGCAATTAGCGCGTTCTTTTCAGCGTTCAGAAATGTTGCTTTTTCGCGAGTATCGTTTTGTAAATCATTATCTTCGAAGATATCGAAAGACGGATACGTAAAATTTCAAAAACGCGCATGTACAATTAGTATAATGTGTAGACTGCGGAAGTTTATGTATTATAAACATATAAAATGCCTATGACATTTATGTACAAAAAATATGCAAATATGCAAAATATGTAAGTATATATAGCATGTAGTATAAGTAGATTGCAGATTTATATGCAAAATAAAAATTGCCTACAATTATTACATGCATTTTAATAAGTCTAAAATCATGCAACACTATTATTAAATTCTTGAAACATTTTCACTGTTTTGAATTTGATCTATTCATTTTATTATGAATGCATAATATCCACTATATTAGTAAGGTAATTACAGAAT